TATGTATATAAATATAATTATATATATATATATATATATATATATATCTATATGTCCTCTCTATCGTCTATCTGCATCAATGGTAGTGTGTGAAGGGGGTAGAGAGAGAGAGAGAGAGAGAGAGAGAGAGAGAGAGAGAGAACTGCAGTTTGAGTTCTTCGTAATTCTTAGTTAGAGAAAATCCTTTGGATTCTCTCTGCAAATCGAAAGCAAATGTTTATGGCTTTGGTTTTGGCCTTTGGGGAATAATCTTTCAAGACTCTCTCTCTCTCTACTCTCTCTCTCTCTCTCTCTTTCTCTCTCTCTCCTCCTTATTTATATATTTTTTTACAATTTATTTGTGGTAAGTTTTACTCACAGATAGAGATGAAAAATCTAATTTTCAAGGAAAAGGAAATCTTAGTCGTGAGAAATAGAAATACTTTATTAATATTAAATTAATTATATCTATGTTTTACATTTTTCCAAAAAAAAAAACATTTACTTGTTAATTAAATATTTAAAGTGTAATTGATTTTTATTTTATTTATTATTTTTAATTTCAGGTAGGTGTCAAATATTAGCTGTACAAAAAACTGCTATATTTGTGTTTGTTTTCCATCATTGGACTGCTAACAACACATGCTTATTTTCTTCAGCTTCTATTAATAATTAATTTATGTGCAATTAATTAATTTTTTGTAGATTTTACTTTTTATTTATGAGTTTTACGCGCATAGATTTTTTCGCCCTTTTTATTTAAATTTAAATTTAAATTTATGGGATTTAGTAATTAAGGAGGTAGGCGTGGGGCCCGGTTACAGCTCAGGTTCGCTTCTTCTGCTGTTTGTTGAGGATGGACCACCGAGAACCGGCAATCGCCGGTAGTGACACGTGTGTAATTGGCTTCGTAAACTAGCAGTCTACCCAGTCGTAGACTCCAAATACACTTTCTCCATCTAAATTGGCCACTTTTTGGTCACCGTCTATTTTAATCTATTTTATAGTAAATAATAGTAATAATAATAATTAGTTATACGAAATAACCAAATGTGAACTTAATGAAATAATTACTTGAATTTTCAAAAATTATCTTGTACTTTGGGCCTTCTAAATGTAGATCAATTTAAAAAGGCCTACTTAAATGTACCTACATAAATGATTATTATCGGTTTACTGAGACGTCCCAAATAAGTATATAACTTATGAATTAGAGTTACAGAAAAATAATGAAAGTACGAATATTTACTGCGGATTTTAGACCCAAAAAAATTGCGGGCAAATATGCATTTGCAGTTATAAACCGAAATAACTTATTTTAAGAGACATAAACGAAGAAATTGTATCAGCAAGTAGCTAAAAATCAAATTTAGAGTAAAAATAAATTAAAATTGCAATGACCACCTAGTAATTGACCAAGCAAATTCACTACTTTTCAAACCACACATTAGTCATAACAATGTTTGCGTTCAACCATTATCGGAGCCAAGATTATAATTTCGAGAGAGAAATGCATTAGAAAAAAAATCTAAAAGAACCATAGATGATGTTATACACGATTTTTTTTTTTCTATATGATAATACAAATTTGAAAAATGTAGGGGGCCATTGCCCCTTGACCCTTCTCCAAATAGAGATAAGATCAAATTTCTCAACCATAGTAAAAAAGCGGCACCTAATTTTGACCACTCACTGTCTAAAAGACAAATCCTAGACTAAAACTCTATAGCTTAGGTCAATGTCAAAAGTAACTTTAATTATTAATTATTAAATGTGCATTCAAATTTTTTTTATTTTTTTTCTTGTACATATAAATTGTATTACCGGAAAAGTAAATGTCGTTTTTTGTGGTTACGCGTAGATTAAGATAGTCAATAAATATGTATAGATTATACCAAAAATAGCATAGTAAATACTAAAATATCCTTGTCAATAATTATTTTTTAATTAACTAATTAAGAGTGATAAGGGGCAAAATTGATAAAAATGCAATTAATACCTTATTGGAACTCTAAAATGACAAATAATTTGGGACAAAAAAAACACTCCAGAAAGACATATAATAAGGGACAGATGGAGTAACTAATACTACGCAGATAAACGATTCATGTTTTATTTACCATCGTCGGTAAAAAAAAAATCACGTGAAAACGCAAGTGCAGAAGTCGCATTTGCAAAACGCGTTTTAAAGATTTGAAGTTGTGAATAAATCTGATTTAACAAATGACAACAATCATGATATTAGGATCTTCAAGATTTTTAATTATGTTATAATATTGATTAGCTGCAGATTTTGATGATGTGGATCAATGATAATCTGACTCTGAAAGTTGGTGTAATACAAACTTTAATCCAATATTATATAATATATTTAATTATTTATACATGTAACCAAACAACACCAATTTAATTAGGATGATTTGTATGGTTGTGAATCTAGTTCCAACCCTATACTTTATTTTTCTATAACTTGTGGTCCTACTAATTGATACGTTTCTTACTCATAATAATCTTAATTAAATGAAAATAATATCATTTAATAATATTATTAAAGTGATTATCTTTAGTCCATTTTGATATTAACATTAAATAATATAAGATCTCCTAGTTCTATTTTTTTTTTTTATTTAATTTGTTTATAATTATAAAAATGTTTATAAAGAAAATGAGTCCAAACCCGAATCAACTAGTTGAAGTGATCCAATAAATCTAAATAAGCCCAAATAAAGTTTAAAAAAATCTAATAAAATAATTGTTAGTACTCCCTCCGTTCCTTTATAAGTGTCGTTTTTAGCTTGTGCACAATGATTAAGGATCTCAATAAATTTTGCTTAATTTTAGAAAAATACATGTGCTTATACTAAAATGCCCTTGCCAATAATTAATGTGAGAGAGTGTTGAAGATAGTTAATAAGAGTAAAATTGATAATTACACAATTAATGCAGTGTTGGAAATGTAAAGTGACAGATAATATGAAACAAAAATAATTTTAAAAAGAGACAGTTATTGTGGAATAGAGGGAGTAATAATTAAATAAAATATATAACACCTCTCTTAATTGCATCAACACACATAATCACTTTTGAAATAATTCAATAAAATTTATGTTCATAATTGATTATATAGTACTTATTGGAGAATCACACACGCTGTGTGATTTTGAAGAAAGGAATAAAATAAATTAAAATTAATTAGGGGTTAGTGTACCAAATTGTAGTTAAAAAGGCAAAAAAAGGCACTAAATTTGCTATTTGCGTATTTTAATGGGGCGAGACTGCTAGTTGCGTGTACGACTCGACGGCGTCGTGTAGCGACCGAAATGCTTTCTCGTGCGGCTCACGTGATTGGCTGAGACCCGCTTTTCAATATTCGATCCAATCCGATTATATCTCGCACGTGCGAACGCTGGATTTCGAGCCAACCAATAAGCACATGACACCTCCCACGTTCTCCCACCCACGTTTCGCCCAACGTGGCTGCCTCTCATCACAAGCAGCTGCTCCTAAAACCACCCAATCATTCCTTATTATTTTAATATTTTTTTTACTCTAATTAATTACTTTCTGTAAACATAATCAAATCTCATGATATTTTATATTATTATAATAATTCAAAAAAAAAAAAGTTTTATTTATTGCATTTTATTTAAACCATAAGCAAACAAAAAATAAATTAATTAAGTAGGCCAAGTGTGAGAATGTCCGCCTGTGCCGGCTTTAATCACCATTACGGATTCAATTATAAATTAAAAAATTGAAAATAATAATAGTTAATTATACTTTAGCTTAAACTAATACTACTAATCATGTGATATTACCACTATGCAAGTGGCATTTGTTAACACAACTCTTACTCATTAACTTTTTTAAGAGCATAATTTCAAAAGCACCCTTAGGGGAAAAAGAGAAGAAAAAAGAAAATACTTTTATTAAAAATATATTCAATTAATTTCATAATTATTAATTCGTACAAAAACCACTAATTATGTAGATTAACGATAAGTATATTTAAGTCATATTATTAATTTATCGAGTATTAATTGATCGAAGTTCTACTGTATACTGTTATAAAGCAGGTCGAACATATTTTATGTGACTATTGAAAAACAAGTGAACTAACCCACTATTTGCACTCAGAATGAACCTTGGTTAATATAGTGCGGTAATCAATGTAATTAATTCATAATCGTTTGATTAATAAAATAAGTACCAATGTAGATGGGAGAAATTTTATTCGTTAAACAGCGACACGTGCAGAGACCATCTTTTGGGGACAAAAATAAAATAACAGCACAATTTTGCCTATAAAGAACTTTTTTTTTTTTTATTATTAATTATTTTTTTAATTTTTGTGATAATTATAAGAAAACAAACTTCAAAACCAAGCAATTCCCACTATGTAATTTATTTCAAACCCACAAATAAGATTCTGGCGTGCACTAAGTAAACCACTTAAATAATTAATCTCGAGGCTCCACCCAGCCAATCCCGTATATCCACGTGTCAGCAACTTGTCTAAAGACTCGTGACCATGTGAACCATTTATTGGGTGGTGCGAAAGGCTTAGCTTATTGTACTAATTGTCACAAAGAAAAAAAAATTAATGTAGTTTGAATATTCATTTTTACGTAATTTCTTTATTTGTGTAAGATTTGAATATCATGTCATAAAATATATAATCATTTCATAATCATAAAATATATAGTGCTAGATCATTAAAATGGTCTTACTCTTACATGATCTAGGATTTTTTTTTTTTTTTTACCTTCACAAAATTTTGATATATTAAAAATATATAAAAGAACTCAAATTTTCAATTACGAGAAATACCCCTGAAAATCACACCATAAGGCGGTCGATGTAAGACGGAAACAAACATCAGGTGGTTTTGATAACTACAAATAGATAAGGGTATTTTTTATAATTTAACCAAGTTTAGGGGGTTTTGAGTAATTTACCATATATGAATATGGTGTTGAGCCCAAATAAATGGTCTAAAGAGTGCTTTTTGGGTTAGTCAATATCGAAGACTACTGCTATGGAAAAGTAACGGAAAAATGGCCCATCAACCCTTTCCTTTTCAGCTGCCTTTGACTTTTTTAATATTATTTCATTACATTTTGCATATATATAATAAATATTTATATTATGCATTATTACTTATTATATAATATTTCACAAGAAATGTCCTTCTCAATTCTCATTAACAATTATTGAAAAAGGAATTATATATTTAAAAAAAAGAAATAGTTGATGTGATATAATCTGTATGCAGCTCGTGATACTTGCTGTTGTCTAGCTGCGTTAGTAAGTCTTAATTCTTTTTTTTTAATTTATTTTTTAAATTTACAAAATTACCCCTGCTTCTAATTCTTAGTGTTCTTTATTGATATTTGAATTTGTGCTTTTCCATGTAGATTAATGAATTTAAAATACTAAATTGTGCATTTTAATTTATTTTTAATTAAATAAGGGAGGACTACCCATGTGACATGTTGCCATGTTAGTTCGTGAATTAGGTCCCATTTCAACTAATAAAGTATGTTTAAAAGCCAAATATGTTTTCCATATATATATATATATATATATATATATATATATTAAGAGCATATTTTCAATGGAAGAGACGTATCAATTTTAAATTGAAATTGTTTTACAAAGTTTATTAGGCAAACATCGCCTTCAATTTATGAAGCCAACAGTTTTGTAATAAGGTTTATATATTATTTTATTATTAAATCAATGTATTTAAATCGCCAACTTTATCTTTGTGTGTTACACATGTTTTTTTTTTATGTTCTCGGTCTCAAATTTGTCACATCTGATTTTACTTTATATCTATATTTTTTCATATATGTTTAGTATATATAGTAACGTGTATATATATATACACAAAAATTTAAGGGTTGGGATTTGTCAAATAGAAGAATTTTCCATGATAAACTTTATGTCATCTTCAAACTTATTAAAGAGGGAAAACAAGAAATCCGTGAATTTCGCCAAACCAAGCCAACCGAATTTCGATTACGAAATCCCAAGATTAATATCATCCATTCAATTTACAAGAAAAAAGACTTTACTCCATCGAATGCTACTTTGTTGAAATATATATAAATCGAAATGTGTTTGTTGATCGTATTGCTCGCTTGGATTGCTTTACATCAGTTTCTAGCTTCGTGAGAATCTCAGTCGGTCGTCAGTCTTGAAATATATCACGTGATTTCTTGGTATTTTCTCCTTAATAGGTTTTCACCGTGTTTACTTGTCCAGGGAAATCCTAAATGGGCAATATGGTCCATATAAATATTACATATAGATTGTGATCATTAAAACCTTTCTTTAGTTATATTTCCATGGGTTTCTTTCCTAATTAACTTCTTAATTTATTATATGTACTTGTATATATATATTTCCATAATAATATATATTTGGAAATTTAATTATTTATAAAAATAAAATAAAAAATAGAAAGAGGGAGTGGGATTCCAAACCTACAAGCTAAATTCATTCACCTATCTTAATCATTAGTTGGGTGGCATCATCACAAGTGGGGAATCTTTTAGTTGTGTGAAATAGTTTTTGATTCGACTAATTACAATTTCACGATTATTTCAATGTGGAATATGTATTAGCCATACTCACTACCTATTTTCGAATAACTTTGTATTATTACATCGAAAAAAATAAAAATAAAAATAATAATAATATAACAAATTTGTGTTACTTGCGTGACTGAGAGAGAGAATTCGAGTAAATACACGAGTGCTGTGCAAAAGACTTAGAATTTTTTCCCTTAAAATTAATAATAATATTTATGTGGTGTGAGATTTAGTAGTTATAATTTATTTTCAATCATCAAAAACATATCTTAAAGTAATGGTAAGAGAATAATGCATGCTAACAAATTAGAAAACCTATTCCTTAAGACAAAGAAAGTGAAGAGAATATTAGTAACTATTACACCTCAAGTTTGGTGTTAGTCTTTTCATTCATATATATATATATGTATTGTATCAAATTCCATCTTTCATTAGTCATCTGAGCATCTTTCGTAGAAAATAACTTATCGAATCGACATGTAAGTATTACGTTATCATGACTTATCTTGTCTTTTAACGAAACAAGCCCTTAGCCAATGACCATAATCAGATAAGTATATGTATTATAGTAAGGGTAAATTTCATTTTACCCCCTCGTACTCTGCATAAGAGTCACTTTACCCTCTCGTACTCTCAATTTTATCGATTTACCTCCTTGTACTTGTACAATTTCCCGATACAGCCCTTTCCTTCAATTTTTGTCAATTTTGACTCTAACGCCATTTTGCCAACTCTGTAAATTACAAAATTGCCACTGCCTATAACGCGTCGTTTCTCCTCCGTCAATATTGTCATTTCTTCTTCTCCCACCACTTCCCCTTCCAAGATATCCCCAAATTGAACCCCTAACTTAGTAAAAATCAAGACCCAAAAATTGATCGATTCCACCCAGTGCAAAGAAAAAAATATATGAATGTGTGAAACTTTATCTTTTATAATCTCGAGAGTCAAAATCGAAAAAATTCAATAGTTACGTCAATATTTTGACTCTTGACCAAATGGCGTCATAGTCAAAATCGAAAAAAGTTGACGAAGAGGGTTGTATTGGAAAATTGTACAAAGTACAAAGGTGTAAATCGATGAAATTAAGAGTACGATGGGGTAAAGTGATTCTTGGGCAAAGTACAATGGGTAATGTGAAATTTACCCTTATAGTAATAGCGATATTAATTAATTCGATAAATACGGGAAAAGGGTCAATGGTTTTTTTAATATGGAAGCTGATTTGGATTATTGAAAAATAATAATATTTTGATTGGAGATTAGAAAGGCTACGTGGATTAATACTGAACACTTGACATTTGTTTGTGGTGAATTATCCCCAGCCTCTTCAGAGCTGTCATCAATAATCATTGCTTATGTATTAATTAATAATTAATATAAAGTTAATTCCTAGTTGGGGCCCACTAGCGGAAGCTCTTTCTAGAAGGTTAATTGTATTAGTTCAGCAATTTTATTTGTCCCTAGCAAATTTAACTAACTATATGTAGAGGATGTAATAAGCAATATAAAAGTAGCTAAATATAACCAACTCTCATCTGGAGAGTTGGTACCTAGCGTTACCAATAGGGTAAAAGGTCTAGGGCTTCGAGTCCCCCCTCCCCTATTTCCCCCTGTAATGACTTGAATTACTCAAAACAAATAACAAGAAGAAAAAACAAAAAAGTAGCTATATATATAAACTATTAACTGTACGACCGGGTTTGGTTTTTCTGAATTAGTTATGTTAAAACCCATTCCTTAAAAAAGAAATTAATTTCAATATTAATGGTTTAGGCCCAAAATTGTGAACGGGGGCCCGAAACCCATTAATTTTATACAGCCCATAAAGGCCCGATTTCATCTACGATTGACTATGGACTAAACTAAATAATAGGCCATGGCCCATATTAATTTAAATTAATGAGACAAAATGGGTTTTCAATTGAAATTCGTTAGAACAAAAACTAATGAGCCCAATTATTATTTTTTATTTTTAATAAATAAATCCGATGATGAATTAGGTGTCACAAGTAGGCTGGAAAAGATTCGGATTTAATAAACACTAGTCCAAACAATATAAAACCATACTCTATGAACATCAAATAAAATATACTTATTATTGAGCCCAAGCCCGTGATATAAGATGGTACATTGTGATCCATCGGTTGTACACTTAATTGGTGTAGTAAGAGAAAACAAAGTCAAATAACCCGGATTTGAGCCTTTTAAGTTATTGTACGAGAATAGATGTTTGCACAGTGCATATTTAACTATACAGTTGGATGTCGGTTATTTCGTTCAAATTCTTTTTCTTTTTTCAAATTTTGAAAATTCGACATAAAGTTTGAGATGATTGGATTTAGTGAAGGGACATGGCATGTTCTCATGCAAAATAAACATTAACTACAAAAGTATCTTAAAAATAAAAATTGATGTGATTGATTATGTTTGTTTCTTGGTTGTTTGACTAAAGTCAGACATTTGTGTATTAAATCACACTGTTTTGCTCCGAAAAGCAGATGCAATTTAATTTCTTCTGCAATTTGCCTCTTAATTTTGTACCTATTTGTTGTTAATATCGTGAATAGTGGAACTTAATACACATTAAAAACTGAAAAAAAAAAAATTAAAAAGAATAAATTTCAAAAAAATAAATAAGAAAAAAAATTAAAAAAATATATATTTTGGAAATTTTGAAAATTTCAGGGTGTTGTGGTCAGGTGATGCAGAAAGTGTCTAATGGGTTTGTGGGAAAAGAACACAATCACATGCCACCTGTACATGAAATAACTGAATCCAATTTATGTGTGTTTGTTGGGTGAGGTGGTCAATTTTAAGACATTGTCTATTGGTAATTTCGCAGAGGTACATGGGGTGTTTGTGTCTTTTCACAATTAACCTGGCAATTAGCCAAATTTTGTGGGTCACAGAAAAATTAATTACAAACATTTTACGAAAGACAAGAGAAAATGGTTGTCAAATCTTTCTTTATGCAGAACCACATTTCTTTTTATTTTTCCATGATTTTATAGATATTCAAAATCAGATCCAAAATTTCCTAACAACTAATTAATGATCCCATCATATCATGGATTAAATTAATTGCAAAAAATGCTCGAACTTGAATCGCCAAAAAGGCTCGAAAAAACCGAGTTCCAACTTTTTCCGGAGTCTGCTCGGCTCGTTTACCACCCCAACCTCATTTTATCAGCACACAGTCTTGTGCATTGTGAATATTTAACTAATAAAAAGGACAGGGTGAGTTCTTATTAATTAAATTAAACTTATATGTTAAATGCAATTAATTGAAATTATGATGAATTATGGTATTCCTGTAGTGTACACTGTACTAATTAAATCAGATCCCTTTTTTAAACAGCTAATTAATAATTAATAAATAATTTTCATTTGATGCACGTAACATGATCTGACTCAGCAAGAAGATCTTCCAAATCATTTTTCACATCTGAACAATATAAACAAATTACTTATTTATTTAATTTAGTGAGGCTTCATTCTGTGTCACGTGACCCCCCCTCTCTCAATAAGCGTCTCTCTATTTTTTTATGTATATATAAAACAATATAAATTCTTTTTGTGCAAAATATATTTATATGTCTCGCATAAAAATATAGATAGATATATACATATACATATATATATATATATATATATATATATATATATATATATATATATATATATATATATATATATATATATATATATATATATATATTGATTTTTATTTTAGTTCATTTGTTTTAGCAAATTAATATTGCCAATATTTATTACCCAAAGATTTTTTTAACAATTAGAGTAATTACATATTAATTTTTTTAAAATGTTAAAAAATAGCCACAATCTTATATCTTTTTAAAAAAATGGTCTTATAAATGATTTAATACAATCAATTAAAAAAAATTTAAAAAATAGAACAAATACTATTTCTTGTGGACCTAAGCTTGTCCTAAATTATAGTAATCATATTGAATTTGCTTGGACCTCACTTGCTAGTTGCTCGAGTGTATACCTGTCGTAAATTAATGATATTTAACAATAAATATGTATTAATTAATATAATAATATAGATTAATTATTTATTGTTAAAAAATGAAAGACCTGAGCACTTATAATAAATTAATGATAAAAAAAATGATTCCTGTCCAGAGTGATAGGGACCAGAACCAACGGATCGGATTGTCTAGTTGGCCCAATTGATCTCCGTACTTAGATTTCTTTCTGTATTGATTTATTCAAAATCTAATCATTTTATAATCATCTATATAATCAAGTGGCGATCCTACTCTAATTATTTCATGTTGCTTTTAATCTCAATTTATTAAAGAGTATAATAAAATTTAATTTCGGGTAAATCACTACTATCAAATTAAACGCCGTTTCAATTTTAATAATACCCTTTTGACTGAATACGTGAATTTGACCAATTTTTAGTATGAATTTGGTAAAATCCAAAACTCGAAATTCTTAGGCATTTGAGTTAGCTTTCTAATGCAACTTGAACCACTGAAATTGGATGTTGCATGAGAAAAATACGCATGAATCAATGAACACTGCTAACAACTTTAATGTTTTGAGGTATATAAAATGTAACATACTCATGCATAACTTTGTTATCCAACGTCCAATCTAATTCAGTTGGATTAGAAAACTAGCGCACATGACTAGAGTTTTCGTGTTTTAAATTTTACCCAAATCAGACTCAACATGCTCAAAATCACATTTAAAGTAGGAACGACACTAGTAAATTTAAAACGACATTTAAAATTTTAATTTATTATATTATGTACTCCCTGCGTTCCTAATTAAGTGTCGTTTTTCACCTCGGCACAAATCTTAAAAATCTCAATAAATATGTCTTGATTTTAGGAAAATTGATATTGATGGACCAAAATACCCTTGTTTATTAATTAATGCAGGAAGAGTGCTATAGAGTTAATAAGGGTAAAATTGAATAATAAGCAATTAATGCTGCATTGAAATTGTAAAGTGACAGATAACATGGAACTAAAAAATTATCAAAAGAGACGGATATTATGGAACGGAGGGAGTAATTGGTTTTTACATTGTTCCTCTATCTTCCTTTGTTTTTCATTTTTTTTGTTTTAATTTTTTTTAATCATGAGTTTTTAAAATAATGAAATAATGAGTGGTATGAAATTTCTCGAAGGAGCAGAAAATTAACGCATTCGCTGCATCAATTCCCGAAGCACTCTGATATTTAGTCCAGGTAAGGGTAAAAATGTCCACCTAGAATCTCGCCGGAAAACACTGCAGCCCGTCACGTGCGGCCTTGCACCGCCACGATGCATATTTTACTACGCCACCATCTCATTTTATTTATTTATTTAATTTTTAATCTCTCAAGATCCTCTATAGCTAAACATTCCTGCTACAAAACAAAAATCAACCCTTTTATTTATTTCACCCAATAAAATTATTCTGATTCCTATCAATTTTTTTAACTTTTTCGTCCTTCAAAAAGTTTTGTTTTAATTAAGAAGTTACTATTACTAGGTACGTATCTTATATCTTCAATTAAAAAAATGGTTCGTACTAATTAAGATGCTTAATTAAGCTTTTAATTAATCAGATTTAACGCAGAGTTTACTAGACACCACGTGTTTGATCTGAAGCCAAGATTTCTTGATTTATGTGCTTTGAAATTTGAATTTAATCAGTCATACTTTCACTATGTGGTCAAAATTGTCACACTTAGGTACAAACCTAGGGTCTTGTGTATATATATATATATATAAAATATTTTTTTAAAAAATATTTAAAAGAAAAAAAAAAAAAACCTTGGAAGAGCTAGTGTATTGAAATGGGGGGCCTGATGTTATTAATTACAAGTGAGGGTATTTATTAGTAAAATGTTTAAAAGGGATATAAAAGAATAAAAAAAGAAAAAGGAGGGGCCGGGAGAGAATAAAAAAGAAATAACATGGGGGGTGCGTGGTAATACTGACACAAAGAGGGCCGGAAAGTCGGCTGAAGAAGAAGCAAACTTGCTTTAACCCACTTGGAACTCTTAACCCCATTTTTGCTGTTTGGGGAACACTCCGAGAACGACAGTATGGACACACACACACATACTTACATCTCTCTCTCTCTCTCTCTCTCTCTCTCTCTCTCTCTCTCTCTCTCTCTCTCTCTCTCGATTTGCATATTTATTTCATTTAATGTAATATACATATGCACACACCAAATGTGTATTCATATCCATTATCTATGTATATGCTTAAACCTCGTTTGGTTGTCACGATAGAATATAACGATATCGTATAACATTTTTTACTACGATATTTTAACTGAAATACTAAATGTCGTTTTTTTTTGTACTAGTTCGCATCGTTCCGACTTCGAATGTAATTTTTGACTATTTTTAAGCTTGAATTTGAAAAAAACATCAAAACACGAAATTGGTATTCTCTGAATTGACTTTCTAATTTCAACTTAAATTAACAAGATTGAAAGTTAGGAGTGAGAGTAATATATTATTGAATGAATATTAACTGCAGCGTTGTCAATTTAAGCTCTTCTAGATTCAAACTGTAACTTATTCATTCACAACTCTTTAATCACTGGTTATTCAATCTAACTGATTGAACTTGGATTACAAAGTGAACTCGAAGAACGGATTGAAAAAATGTCAAAATCACAATTATAGCAGGAACGACATTTAGTACCTCCCTCAATAGATTCACGCAAAGGTGAAAAAGAGCAAAATCGAAAAATAGGTACTTGACTACCTAATTGATTATTCATGATATATACAAGCCGCGCAGCCCCATGATTGACTAGTATATAAATCGAATATCGTCGGTGCTTATGCACTATAAAATAAAAATATTGTATTATAAATTGATAGTGCCTGAAGTCCGAAGTACTGTTACACGCAGACAAAACATACACTAGTCTTAAAAATTAGCTGATTGAACTTGGATTACAAAATCAACTCAAAGAACGGATTGAAAAAAGTGTCAAAATCACAACTGTAGCGGGAACGGCATTTAGCACCTCCCTCAATAGATTCACGCAAAGTGAAAAAGAGCAAAATCGAAAAGTAAGTACTTGACTACCTAATTGATTATTTATGATATATACAAGCCGCGCAGCCCCATGATTGACTAGTACATAAATCGAATATCGTCGGTGCTTATGCACTATAAAATTAATATATTGTACTATAAATTGATAGCGCCTGAAGTCCTGAAGTACTGTTACACGCAGACAAAACATACACTAGTCTTAGAAATTAAGTGGTTGACCTTGGATTACAAAGTCAACTCAAAGAACGGATTGAAACAAGTGTCAAAATCACAACTATAGCGGGAACGACATTTAGTACCCCCTCAATAGATTCACGCAAGGGTAAATAAGAGCAAAATCGAAAAATAAGTACTTGACTACCTAATTGATTATTCATGATATATACAAGCCGCGCAGCCCATGATTGACTAGTATATAAATCGAATATCGTCGTTGCTTATGCACTATAAAAATAAATATATTGTATTATAAATTGATAGCGCCTGAAGTCCTGAAGTACTGTAACACGCACTGTAACACGCAGACAAAACATACACTAGTCTTAGAAATTATCTGGTTGACAATTGGGAAAGTCTCTATATAAAAACAGTGATGATATAGCCCACCGCTTTCTCCCATGCAATTGTCTTCCAACATTACTAATATAATTTTTTTTTGTTTAATTAATTAATTAATTTAGTTTTTTTTTAATTTCACATAATTGTTTTTTTTATTTTTGTTCATACCGTCCCCCTATCCCTCTGTCCATAACTTGTCTCCATAACACTTATCTCCATTTCTTAAATGTTTATATAAACCTCATTTCTCATTTCTGTTTTCTCTCACTCATCACACCAAACACAATCACTTCATTCTCTCTCTACACTTCATAGGATAAAAATATATTTCTTACATAAGTTAAGTGACAGTTATGTCTAGCAGAAGATCTCGTTCGAGACAGTCGGGAGCTTCCAGAATAAGCGATGATCAGATAGCCGATCTCGTGTCCAAATTGCAGCAACTTATTCCCGAGATCCGTAACAGGCGCTCCGACAAGGTATACATATATAACTATATGTATACCAAATATTTCAAATGTTGATACAAATTAAATTTAAAATTTTCTTTTTTCTTGATTATATTAATTATTATTATTATTATTTTAGTGTGGCCTTCATTTGGTAATAATTGTGTGCCCACAGCCCACAATCTTGATTTAATTTAACAATTTGCATGGTGTGGGACTCCATTGTTCCCTCCAAAAAACATTTAATATTCTCTATACACAATAATGTAGCTTTAATTTCTTCAGATTTTTATAGCATCAACGTAATATATTACACATTTAAAAAAAATATCCATGTTCCACATGTGTATATCTATATATAAATATAAATACATAAGTTTTTAAATAAGATGATAGCCCTTATATTAAATTGATCATATGTAGTATAAGAAAATGAATTTTTTTTTGTTTGATTTTTATTATATGGGGAATTAATTAAATTAAAAATATAAAATGTGGCAGGTTTCGGGTTCGAAAGTGTTGCAAGAGACGTGTAACTACATAAAGAACTTACACCGAGAGGTGGATGATTTGAGCGATAGGTTATCGGAGCTTCTCGAATCGACGGACAGTAACAGTGCTCAAGCAGCCATAATTAGGAGTTTGCTGATGTGATTAATTAATTATAATAATGTAATATAGAAAGCTTAATTATAATTAATTAATTAGATTAATTATATGCTTTTGTACTTTTCGCTTTTAATTATTCCTTCATCATTGTCTAGGGTTTGCTCAGTACTATATTTGGCCAACTTAGGACTTTCAACTTTTTTTTAAATATTATTATATATTTCGCGTCACACTTTTTGAATTTTTCTTCACTCATACATATACATATATATATATATATATATATATATATATATATATTTCCAAACTTATAGATTTATGCTTATAGATTTATGCTATTTTGGGAAAAAGTTTCTACTTTTAGCTTTTAGATGGGAAAAGTTTTACATGACATGACCTACCACTTATGAACAGATGAAACTAATTAAATAAATGAAATAATATATAAACGTAAAAATAAAATAATGTAGCAAATGCAAATGAGTTTGTTACTCATAGTACAATTCATTAAATTTTCCATAAAATGTTTAAAAATGAGTAATCTAATAGATGTTTATTGCAGTATTGATATAAACAAAAAATTGTATTTATAGTTTTTCGGTTTTCATCAAGTATGAATTAAGATTATATATTACTCTTAAATTGATCTTCTTCAAAGTGAAGCTTTAACATATATTTGTTATGATTCTTACTATTTATGTTGTTAATCATAATTATTAATTTATAATCACTTAAATTTATTATTTGAACTCACTCAAATTTAACGATTTTTTTTTTACTTGTCTTAAAGAGAATGCTTTCTTGTATGGGTATCCTTTTTCACTTTCGAAGCAAAAATTGTAACCATTTTTCGAGCGGACTCTATTTGTATACGTATTTACTCATGGCTAGTGGTGGATCAGAACAAAATTTCCGAATCGCGTATATTTAGTTTCAATTCGAAAGTTTTTCGATTTTCGAAGTGTTTAAAAAAAAATCAATTTCAAAATGCTACTTGGATCGGATTTGCAATTATATGTGAGATATTCATTAGTGATGCCATTTTAATTTTAAAAAATAATCCCATAAGAAAAAAAAATTATTTAAAACAAATTGTTATAAGGCCTTAAATTCCCAATATGTGGGACTTATGGTTTTGGAATCACTTATTGGACTTCGAATAAATTGTTGTTGGGCTGCAGTCCATGGGCCTTAGATAATGGTTAGTTATATCTAATATTAGCACAATTCTCAAATTATTTTGTATTTATTTCATAAATAACTATTAGTACTCCTTTTATCAATTAATTTTCTCAAATAGTTTTATTACTTTAGAGTTTCAAGAAATAATTATTTTCTTTTAACCAATTTGGAGAGAAAACATTATTAAATAATTTTTTAATGCATAAATAGTAATTTTGAGCTTTTATGTAAGAATTAATTTTTATTATTATTATTATAATATTTAAATAGTGTGCAAGTAATTAATTTGAAAAAAAAAAAAACAATAAAAGAGAAAAAGGAGGCAGTAATTAATTAAAATGGAAAAATAAAGCATGCAGGGCACGGGTGTAATTTAGAAATGATTGACAAAAGCCGCCTTGGAAACTGTACTACGTTGGACTCTGTATGATTGAGCATCTTTCCGTATTTACTCAATTCCCCAATTATTGTTCAATATCTATTTTTATATTTTACTTCTTCCTTCTTTTTTTTTTAATCTTTTTTCTTTTTCAATTTTAAAATAAGGAATTATTATATTCTCAAAAAAATTATGTAAACTAATAATTAAAAAAAAATGGAATTTTCTTTTGTGGCGGATCGACTATGCCCCTCAATAGTTACGCCCCTGTTCGTGAGTAAATTAAATTAACAGGATCGTCGATTTTCGAGTCAAACACCGTAAGTAAAAACGTACATTTACATTTAATATAAAATAAAAAATAAATAATTAAATAAAAAATAAATAAAAGAAAAGGTATAATGGGCCAATTTGTTGGACAATGCCAGTCGGAAATTAGGAAACAAACGCACATTGCTTATGAGACGCTAAGCTGTTACAAGTTGCCTTCATATACACCTCTCATGTGTGTGTGTGTATATATATATATATATATATATATATACTTTCTTAAATTAAATTTTAAAAAAATTATAGCCCTAAAAATTTCCATTAATTACCTTTAAATGAAGACAATTTGTACTAATACTATGTTCTCTGGTATCTGCATCTCATTGTCTCATGCGTTTAACTTCCACTTGAACTAGAAGAAATAAAATAAAATAAATATTGTTATAAACACCTTTAAGAAAATAAAATAATTCAGCAAAAACAAAATACAGATACAAATATTTATTTAAAATAATATAATGGCCCAACTACAATTTAAAAAAAGAAAATAGTATTTTAAAGCAGTGGTTGACAAATCACATTCAAGAGCAAGAAAGGGGGCAAATAGTGACGTCATGTTTACAAGCCCACATGGGCTTCATTTTTTTTTTTTAATTTCTTTTTAAATTTTCAATATAATTAATTAACTAATTTATATTTCAAGCTGATATTTTGTCACCACAAGCCATGAATGCATGTGGAGGAGAAAGAAAGATTCATCTAAAATGTAATCTCCTACGTAATATTATTCTCACAAATTTAATTAATTAAATATATAAATATATATATTATATATATTTAATGTATATACATAATAGCAGTATGCATATGTGTAAGGAATTATTGGAATATTTAGCAGGATAGCAGGAAATGAGAACATGCCTTCCAACTAATAAAGTCATGTGATGAAGTAATATTAAATTGTCTTTTGGCCCTTTTTAAAATTTGCAATTGGGTCCCATTTCAACATTATCACTCAAAATGGGTCCCATGACTTGTATGTATATCAATTTTTTTTTGTTATATATGTATGTTTACTTATGTATATATATCCCCATTAATTGTACTAAAATAGGAGAACTAATGGCTTCTTCATGGAAAAGAACATTTGACATCTATTAAATAACTTCATTATATATTTTTATTCAATTCAATTCCTATGGTGCTATCCTCATGCATTTATTATTTTTTAATTAATTTTGACAACTTTATGTAAGTTTTTGATTCTATTTACTCACGTACAAAAATATATTACGTTGGTGTTAAAGAGGCTGATTGGAACTAAACACTATTCCTGAATTCCGCTGGTTCCGATCTGAAATTTTTTAATTTTGTAACTCAATTTTCAATTCAAATTCCAAAAATTTCGATATTCAATTTTTTTATATTAGAATTGAAATATATATGAATGTCCGATTTTCGATATGATTTTAATTTTTGAAATAAAATTATGTCGTATTGAAAGATGTGGTCATAAACAATTTTGAAATATTATTGCTCTTTATGGTGATAAAGTTATCAAACTATTTGATTCATTTTCTTTCACCCACGTGAAAAATATTACCTAATACAACTGAATCTTTCTATTATTCTTGTAAACAGTTTATTATAAAAGAAAAAAAAAATTAGATGACTATGAAAATGAAATGATCAAAAGAGGGAAGATTTTGAAATATTCAATATCATGTCCAAATTAATTCCCTAATTCCGCAAGCTGATGAAGCTTGAAGTCTGATTTTTTTAGGTTTAAATGTCGTTTTCCCAGGTTTCTCCGCGCGTGGCGGAGCCAGCATAGTGCCGAGAGGGCCATGGCCCCTCGCAATATTTCTCAAATCCCTACTATTTTATATAAAAATATAAAAAAGTTCATGAATGTCAACATGAACTGCCTCCTAGAATTTTTTTAATGCATTCGATCCAACCGAACTTTAAATAGTGGCTCGACTAGTGGGTGTGTTAGTGTATGACTTGGTCCAATGTCAATCTCTAAACTCCAATATACTTATGTTTTAGTTATAAGAAATGATTAACAAGATTTATCGTTTTAGAAACTCAATTAATTCTTAAAAAAAAAAATGAAAATTAGATGAATATGAAAATGAAATGATCAAAAGAGGGAAGATTTTGAAATATTTAATATCATGTCCAAATTAATTCCCTAATTCCGCAAAAGCTGATGAAATTTGTAGTCAGATTTTTTAGGTTTAAATGTCGTTTTCCCAGATTTCTCAATGTGGCGGAGCCAGCATATTTCCAAGGGGGCCATGGCCCCTCCCAATATTTCTCAAATCCCTACTACTTATTAATATATATAAAAAATTGTGAATGACAACGTTAACTACCCCTTAGATTTTTTTTAATGCATTCGACCTCACCA